TGGTTTCAACAATGATAAAAACGATGATGATTTTGACCATGATGTGAGGATGACAAGAATGATATTGTTATGATAAACTAATTCATCTAGGCTATGCCAGTGTGTCCACGCAAGAATCTTATAATCCCACATCCGACGTCTCCAAACCTTGACGGCATGCACATTTCCGGCATAGACCGCGAAGTGGATCCTCGGTGCATTGAATCGAAGGACAACGTAATGACGGCTCAGAAAGAAGGTGGAGCCTGTGACATCGCGTGTGGAAACCCTGTCACCACCAAGTTGCGGTAAAACTGAGCATACGACCTTCTCCTTGATGATCAAACCCTCCTGCAGGCATGGATCCGATCTGGCCATGTGCAGCAGAACTCTACTCCTTGGCTTCAGCTCTCTCGCGTCTCAAAGCCCTGCCGGTTGATCGCTCGGCTGGCAGCTGCTTACTTTGGGAAAGGTCAAGCATCCAGAGCCCACAGATGCAGAAGCCGTGTCACCGTGCAAACACTCCCTTCACCTGCTCCCGCGGAAAATCGAGCTCCACGTCGAAGAGTGCGCGTGCGTTGATGTTGCCCTTCAGGCCTTGTACATGTCGGCGGTTCCATGGTTTGAGAAGCCCGTTTAAGATCCCGCACACTTTCAACCGTACGAAACCGTCGGAAAGTTCAATGTGCGGTCTGACCGTTTGGTCTTCTCATCATGAGCTACCACGGCAGCAAGCGAACAGAACGGCAGCTCGGCTAGGGACACGCGAGGTGGAGTTCCAAAGGCACCACAAATGGAACCCTTGCTACATATGTGGCCGAAGAGCTCAATATGAGGTGGAGATCCTGCTCCAAGCGCTCGTGGCTGCAGAACGCAGCCACCTCAAGTAAGGAGGCTTACCGCGTCTCAGGAGCCTTCCAGCCAGCCTCCAACAACTTCCAACATTGACAAGGTCTCGAAACTCTCGCATTAACTCTCATACTAGTACCAGTTTAGTTAAGCAACCGCATCCGGACAAGCAGCATGGACCAGGCTGATCTGAGACCAACTGCCCACCGATTCCAGGGAAAGCTTGCACATCCGAAGCTTTCCGCGTTTGGCCGCGGGCATCACTGCCTGTGCCGACTTCGATGTGTCCCTCGAGCTGACGGGGAAGCCTGCCTTTGAACCCTGTCCAAGTCTTGCCCCAAACCAAAACGAGAAAGTTCCCGGACATGCCTCCTCCAAGGAGTAGGCTTTGGGAAACTTCATAACGACGCTGCGCAGAAAGGCTTTGAGAAGTTGGATGACCTGCTCTGGAAGCCGTCCATTGAGGATGAAGCCTGGCAAGACGAGGACTGGGCCCACTACCGGTCACTACAGCACCGGCAACCAATCCTGCTGGTTTCTTCTCATATAGCCATAGCACTTTCTACTCTGCGTCTGTACCGTCATGTCGTGCCTACATTCCACGGGTTCGGCCCCAGCACGTTCGACAGGGACGCGTGCTCGGTGGGATCTTGATGGAACTCCTCGGCTCGAGCTGCAAAGGGCAGCCTATCTCAAACTGACCAGGGGTATGCAGCAAACATCCATTGCTGAAGACACGCTGCTCTCTGCACGGATCCACGCAGTAATGGGCTGCGAACACTTTGCATGTCAGGCTCAAGCCTGATGAAACCTTTTGAAGAAAATCTCTGGGACCTAGAATCACACTGCTCGTAGACTCTGGGATGAATGAGTTTCTTATCGAAACCCTGCATTGAACTGCGCTCAAAACAAGTGTTGAACCCGAAGAGACATCAACCGGCCCACGTCTCAGGTTGGCTTGCCTAAAAGAGCACACGAAGATGCCGCTCATCCCGTTTATCGGAAGCACTCAAGACACTTGGGAACTGCACCAGGGATAAACATTGCACTCCTTCAGAATCCAATGCAACTTGTTGCCACCTCCAGAACTTCCACCCCTCAATCCAATGCGCCTCATTATGGAACTAGCATCCATTAGTGGCACGAGAGTTTCCGTCAGCACGGCACCCAAAGCCAAGGATCGTGCATCAGATCCTCGAACCACTTCAGCAAATCCTGCAGTTCAGCAGCTGCAAAATTGGCTCTGCTCGGGGCCTAAGAGCGAAGACTCGCTCCCAACACCAAACTCTACAATCTCCTGCAGGTCATAGACGCGTTTCGAGGATGGCGTGCGCTGGTTTGGCGAGTCCTCGCGGATGCAAGGGCAACATCAGAAACACCGAGATGATCAGCAGAACTCGAAACGTTTCCATGGAGCCATGCTCAGAAATGCTGTCAGCATAGGATACGAAAGTTGGGGCTCTAAGGGGCATCTGTGCTCATAGCCAGATGTCCACGGCTGTCAGCTCAAGCGTGCAGGAGTGCGGCTGAGACATGCTTAATCATCGAAATTGATACTTGATGGCTTCATTGGGCTGCAGAGGAAGCGTGGCCCATCCGGGCTTTCACGGGGTGGTGTCTCTAAGTCCTCGAAATTGACGCTCCGCTGGCCGTCCGACCTCACTCGCAGGGATTTGTAGCAGGCTTCGACAGCTTCGGGCATCAGAATAAGAGCTCTCATTTTCTTCTCCACAGCGAAAGCTGGGCGAATGCAGTCCGTCCATGCACCAGGCCACAAACCAATCCAAGTTGACGTGCGTGCGGGCTACACGGGGAGGGGGGCAGAAGGCCCCTTCCGTTCTTGTGAAATGTTGTTCTAGATGGTTTGCGGTTTGGAGCTTAAGTTTAAATCGGTCCGTCCGGGCTGCTACCTGCGCTGCCCGTCGGTGGGCGCACTAGAAATTCAGAAGTTCAACTCCCGCGCAAAGCGAACTGGGACATGGGCACGACCGCATGGGTTCGAGATCAGCTAAAGACTGCATCGAGGAGAACTTTTAAGCACCCACACCGCCCCTATCAAGCAATAAACTCGCAATCGTACCCCGTATTACACCTCTCCACAGCGTGACATGCGTGACTGTCATCCTCACTAAAACCACCTTGCGCATCCCCATCACCAGCACGGCCATATGGTCGACGCAAGGCCGAGTGAAGAATCCGACACAAGCTTCTTCCGGATTAAAAAACTCTGTCGAACCTGCTAAGATCATGGTTGATAGCAAAAGTAGGGGCCACCCTGCCAAGATGCGCATCATTGTTCATGAACTGCGTGTACCTTATTAGTGCAGTGGCTGATCTGTGCGGGACACACCAAGTTCTAGACAGCATCCAAAGGGGATGACACATGAAGACTACCTAGTTTCCACGCTAATGCCGATAGTGATACAGCCGAGGGAGAGGTGGCCGAGAAATCAGCGGCTGAACCTCGAAACAGCCACCAGTTCGCGGCATGCCACATGAAAGGACATCTGCAACAACGAGCAATAGCCAACTTGGTTGCAGGTTGATAGCATGCAGATGCACTCCCCACGAAGACAACCAAAGGGGAGCTTCAATTGAAGTGTTAAATTCAAGGCGCAGAGCTCTGTGCAGTTCAATCGCCTGTCAAGCAGCAATTCCCGACTGGGACCTCTTGTTCACACAGTCCTGATGTCCAGTATCCTCAGCTCCCATGCAGGCACAATCGCGAAAGTCATGAGGAAGTTGAAAAGAAGCATTTACGCATGGCTGCAAATTCACGCCACTCGGAGAGCATACGGCCATCGACTTTGTGGATAAGCTCGCAAAAACCAAGGAGCATCCTGCGAATACGATTGAGGATGGACGTCTCGTGAAGATGCCATCAGACCAAACGCGCTCGGCGCCGAGTCATCTTGGGGAACACCCCGGTCGGCAAACACGCGCTAGTTTGGTGTGAGCTCCGGGCACGAGGAATCTGGCCTCTTCATTAGTCTGACGGTCGTCACGGCTATAACCGGCTAGAGCCTAAATTCACCAGAGAGCCTCCGTTTCTGGTGTAATTAGCTACTTATTGTGCCTGTGACTCTCGCAACTCTGTGATGCTTGACTTTGTATTGCTACGACCGTGATGCCGGCCTACGCAAGTTGAGGAACTCATGTCAGACACGCTCCGGCAATCACGAAGCCTCAACAATCCGAAGTTTGGATGCACTCTCGCAGACGGCCTGGCAGTGCGGTTCCAGGACAAGCATTACAGCAACGGGGCCATCCTTTTCTCCTTGTCCGGACGCTCAGGTTGGCAGCGCCAAGGTCCAACGACGACGCCTTCTGGCGGCGGGTCCTGTCAGCAGCTTCCAAAGCTCTCCATAAGGACTTCAGAGGCTGAAAACTGCTTACTCTGGAGACCAACTGCTTCGTCGTTACTCGTCGTTCAAGCTGATCCCAAACATTTTCACACGCCGGGCATCTTGCCGCGGCTTCGCGAAAGAACGAACCGAGACGAATTGCCAATGAGCTAAAGAATTCACGCCAATCCTTGCTGGAAACACAAAGATAGATCAGTTCCGACGCCGGCTCGTGCCTTCCGGCGGGGTGAGTCTTCAAGTCACTAAATACTGCCCAGCTTGCCAGTGCGTTCAGCGTTCAAGTGCTAAACCTGGCAATCTTTCGAGGAGTATTGAAGTGTGCCAAGGAGCCTCCAGAGGCTGCCAGCGAGTATCACACGAAAGCCGGAATGACTGCGTGCCATTCGGAACTGTCGTATGCAGAAGATTCATGCCGAAGATCGCCTCCAGCGAAAAGCTTGCATGTCCGCCTATTTAATTTTGCACCGACAACGCCGAGTAGTTAGTGGCAATCGAAGATCCAGGTACTCATGCAGCTCGAAGGGGCCCCTGAACCACCGCGGCCCTGATGAGGTTAGGCATCTACACGAAGTTGTTCTGAGACGTCCTGAATGAAGGGTCCTGCAGTCCTTCTAGACATCCAGCAGTCAGAACAGGGCTTCTGAAATTCACGACGCAGATAAGCCCCGCCCGACGTGCCCAAGTACCAAACCCGACAACGACACGTCTACAGTGCCTCTACAGCCAGTGCAGTGCTGCCCAGAAACCACATCTCCAGAGGCAAAGTGGCAACTGCGCCACACGCAACCTCTTTTGCTCGATGTTTGCGCGGCAAAGACGGGCGAGGTCATCAGGGCACAAAGGGAAAATTCAAGGCCGCGGATGTCTCATCGGGAAGGCCGGGGAAGTTGCAACTTGCATAAACTGCTTCCCTGTAGCTTCTTGTCACTACAGCATTTCCAGCTCTGAAGTGTGCCTACTTCGACTTGACTGCTCCCATGCAAGGCTGCAAATTGTACGACTCAAGCTGGACCTTCGAATCGAGTCTATTCCCTGCAACTGGCATCCCGATCCCCGCAGGTCGAACGGATCAAAACCTAATACCTCGACATATCTTGAGACCGAGCCAGCATCCTTCTGGTAGTGCGAGAGCACCAGCATCGGCTGCAAGCCAACCACTCCTTGCGAAGCTACTGGCCATGTTGCAACGGATGCCCTTCGTTCTCGCTGTTCTCGGGTCTTGCAGTCTAGGACTTAAACTTTAAACAGTGAAACCAATCAGTGAGCTTGGTGCCACGACATTGGTTGCTGTTTTGCGCTCCTCTCTCCGTCTGATCCAACGCGCCGGTAGTCCTTGAACCTGGGCGAAAGGCTTCGGCAGGGAACCCAGACAGCTCGAAAGGTCCGCAACAGTGCACAATGTCAAGCAAGTCAGCATGCACAAGCAAGTGGAACACGATGATGATAGTTGCGGAGAAACGGATGCTACATTTCTGCAGACCCAGAATGGTCCACGATGAGCTCCGAACCGCTCAATCACTGCGGGATTCGTGTGGGAGCCCGGAATCCAGCAAAGCGAGCCAAGCTCACGCTGCCCGCACCTGTCAAAGGTTGAAGCTGGGTTTCGCGGCTAATCTGGTGCAGAACGTCTTGTCCCCTCCTCACCGGACCGAGTGGGATCCATGCCGTCAGCCGTCGACCCTCACCCACATAAGCACGGTCCATGTGTGGGCCGGTGAAAGTGGTGGGCGGCACCGCCCGCAGCCACTTGTACGCGGTAGTCACTACCTGTGCAAGACACTGGCCTAGCAATGGCTCAGTAGTTAACCCCTCGAGCGTCAAGCCTCGTCCACTTGCAGGATGTTCGCTGTCGCCTCGAAGAGGTTCTCGTGCTCTAGCACTGCCAGAACCTGCAACCATGCCCAACTCTCCCAAGACCAAGAAACCCGGTCAAAACATCCCTTCCGCCTCTGGCAAGGCCTGAAGGTCCAAGCGCCGCAGAAGGGAGGGCATCGGCACCTCCGTGGGCCATCGATTTGGCGAGTAAGAGAAATCGTGCGTAATGGTCCACTGACCTCCCCGTCAAGGCAGCCCGGGGCGACCATGGCTGAGTCCAAGGCAGTCCCAGGCCTGAAACAGACAGAGGGAAGCAAGAGCCTGGCGACTATGCCGCGTCCATCGACCTCCTTATATTGTTAGATGTACACAGAATGCAAGCCTATAGGGCCTAAAGCCACAAGATGCCAACGCTTGCAAGTTCTCCTGTTGCGGTGTCGTGCTAATATGCTTCCAGACAACACCCATAGAGTTCCAAACATCAAAGCCGCCTGAGTGCCTTCGCTGCAGACAACTCCCGCAATAGCCTGCAGGCCATCCGCAGCGGCAGATAGTGACAGAACATGAACCGGTGCAGAGCGACCTCCTTTTGCTGGGCCCTTGTGGCAGAGAGCTGTGAGGGTTCAGTACGAGGGCCTGCCATCGCGGGCCCCTGGCCTCGTGCGGGCAGTGCACACAAGGGCGGCAGGCAGCAGCCCGCGAAGCACCACCAAGCCCTCCTCACAGGCGGAGGAATCTCCGGTACAAAACGCCGCCGACAAGGCAAAAGCAAAAGGCTATCTTGGCTCCTTTTGCAGGAGCTCCCGAGCACGGCTCCACAGGCGTCGCTGGGACTTCTCGGCTTACACATGAGAGAACACGTCTTCCCTAGAAAATCACGCTTGGAGCATTGCAAACATGACACGGAATCTTGTGTTCTCTCGGATGAATTTCCCCAAGGCTCTGTTGCTTGAAGTTCCGGGCTCTGCCGACCACCTACCTCTGCTCGAAGAGTGCCGCCCACACAGTGAATGCTCAAAGCCTGGCAAAGGTTCCTACTGACTCTGCAGGCCGGCAGTGCGGCGGATCCGCTCCGCAACCTCGCAGCCAGGTGCTGCTCGGCCACCAGATCGCTGCTTCACAGCACTTGCAATGACTCTCGCAGCCGGCTTCTTCTGCGATCGTGGAGCCATGTCGAGCTAGAAATCTCTCAAAGAACATGCTCTATTTCCTTGACTCTATCATCTCTAAAGGTCCTTGCATGCTGCAGGGACAATGCCCCCAGCTTAAGTGTCGGATTTACGTGCTTTCAAGATGTGGGTTTGCAGCCTCTGGGATTGGTGCAAGTCTGTATCTGCTTATGAACATGCGAGTTTCTCTCTCCTCCTTCTCTGGGCTGCTACCGGCTTCCTGGTAATGCGCACGGAGGTCAGACTCTGCCTCAGAAGCAGAAGAACTGAAGCTTGAATTTGAAAGATGCATCAACAATCAACAAAAACGCACCCACACCCCTGCTTGGATCCCTGTGGAAGCTGGCACGACACGTCGTAATACCGGAAAGACGCTTGAAACAGTAGACCTGGGTCCGCTGACGACTGCACCGGCTACATCCCGCTACTTAAAGGCTTGGTAAACCATGGAAAAAAGCTTCCATCAACTCCTTTGAAGCCGGTCGAGACAGGCGGCAAGTCTTGCTAAGTGCATGCGTCCGTCCTTCTGTCGGAGGAGCCGGGCCTCTGGAGAAACAGAGACACCATCCTGCTAGGATGAAAAATGCCTCTGGATCCAGCCGCAGGCTCTCGAGAGGTCCCCACGACCAGGATGTCCTCCGAGCTCTTGCCGTGTCCGAAATCCTCCAAATCTACCTGGAACAGACACGCCCATGATGACGATTCGCGGCTGCGGGCATTTCTTGGGCATATTCTGCTCAGCGAATCCATTGCTTAGAGGAACTTGTGCTTCTCAAGCAGAAAGTCACGCGGCACAGCGGATTAGAAGTGGATCTTCGCCTCTGCTGCCGGAACAAGTTGCTCACGGAGCTGCTTTCCTCCAGGTCGCCAACCGCTCTAGAGCATCGGCCAGGCTTGCTGCTGCCTTGCTTGAATGCTGGGTGGCAGTCGCCGCCGCGTCGGCCAAGCTGCTTTCAGACACTGCTCCTTGGCTGCAGCCGTTCTGGGAGACATGGCAACGAAAACGATTCAACTTTCTGTTCTTCTCACAGTCCAAGTCTCGCAACCTCTCCTCTACCTCAGCTCTGTTAAGGAGTTCAAGCTGCTATCTATAGCCATCGACGGTAGCCTTCGACGTCTAAAAGAACAGATTCTGCTCTCACGGCCGGCCCAAGCACCCACTCCAGCACCCACAAATCATCTCCAACGGGGTTGTCTGCGCGAAGCCGCACTGCTTCTTCTGCAGCACCGGTCAGCAATTCCAGCCAGCCTGGCCGAGATCAGATAAGAATGCCAACAAGGAAGCACGTAGGCTCTTATTATTCCGGATCCAGCGACTGGGAAAAAATGAATCATTTTCGCAGCAGGATCTCTTTGATCTTCAGTGCGCCACCCAGAACACTCGGAAAAGCACCCAAACCAAAACATTCGTCAAACCGTGGCGAACAAGCTGAATGCTGCATCCACACCAGTACGGGGCCATGCTGACCAGGCTACCAGAAATGTCCAATCCGCAGTTTGCTTTCCTCCAGCGGCGGGTTTGAGCATTTTGTCAGCCAGACCAAGGTGGCAACTCAGACACGGACACTGACACAGATAGACTCTGATAGAGATAGAGACTGCGAGACAGAGGGGGGGGGACGAGGGAGGGTAAGGGAGAGTCAGGGAGAGTAAGGGAGAGGGGAGGAACCGTCAGGCAGGGAAGCCTGGCATACATTTCATTTACCACCGCTAAGCCTCGAACCTACATTGCTAGCATCTTGCATCTGGGATTCATCAGAAGCTGGCACTGTTCCAGAAAGTCTTTCTCAGAATCAAAGGTGTCTTGCAGATCGCCGATCCTGAGCAGTCTTCACCGACAAGCCACGTCGTAGGATCAGCACTGCAACACCCTCGCGACAGATCTCCTTTTCCATGTGTTCAAACTCCATGTCAGCAAGTGCTACTACAATGACCCCCGCACGTCATCATGTGCACTTCACCTTGGACAAGTGCCAGGCATCTTCTCTCGGACCGACTTCCACTCGGACCGGAGGAATTGCCACACTTGCAGCGCATTCGTTGCCTCGATAAGACTGTGGCTTTCATTCCGCATGGGACTAAATCTGTTTAGCAAACATCATCACTGGTGTATGGAAGATCTATACACACCCGCGGCCATCTGCAGCTAGCGTAGTGGTGTCCGGGCATCCACATGCGTGAATCAGAGCCATTTGAAGCACGTGTACAAGACGCTCCCCGGCAGACCACTCTTGGGGATCTCAGTGACCAGCGTTCAGCCAGTTGTGGTTGATAGAGATCGTCATGGTGAGGTTGTCCACCTCTTTTCGCGATGCCAGCTGAAGACACCGAACAAACATGTACAAACATGCACGTGCAGTTTTTGCAGGACGCTAAGGCCTTTCACCTTCAAGATACGCAAGACAGCACAGGATTTTGACAATCCTAGGCCTGCCTCGTGATACCACCCGCTGGGCACAAACATCAATTCTCCCTCTTCTTGGAAAGCCTCCAGCCTCACGCCAGCACGCAGGCGCGCAGTCAATCGGTCTTGAGCGTAGACACAGAGCTGTACGGGCACCGACTTCTGCCGAAACTTGAAATCACCTCACCCTACGCTAGAAACCTCCCCAAGACGATGGATGACTCGCTGCCACCATCACCACCCAAACCAACTCACCCTGTCTTTGCGCGACGACCGTTCCAACCATGTGTTTCCATTCACTCCATCCCTGCCTCTGCTCCCAAGCCTCCTGGAGCCCTGGGAAGTGCTGCTGCCAGTCTGATGTGCGACGCTGCGGCTGAGCACTTTCTGCTGCGTTACCCAGCCTTCGTAACACACCAAGTTGCCAGGGTGAGTACCAATACTTAGCTAGCACGGTTAAAGATGAGGAGTTTGTGGGCATATGAAAAATCTTGTCCGTGAGAAGCGAACGAGCTGGAAGCAGAGACAAACACAACTACCAGTAGCAGAGAAAGGAAAAGGCAATTCTGCGTCAGAGGAATACAGACCAAAGAATCACATTCCCTAGCTACAGTCATACAGTCATACATGCCAATTCCGAATAGGCAACGCCACATGCATAGTTGAGACCTCAGGTACATTGGAATAGCTACCACATCAGGTAACAAGTATGGGAAAATAAATGCAAAGACAGAGCTGCAGGTTCAGAGAATGGAAAACCAAACAAGAATTAAAGCAAGAAAAACGATAGCAGCAGCAGCAACAACAGCAGCAGCAGAAGCAGCAGCAGCATCCACAGCAAGAAAACAAGACGTAGGTCGCAGGCGGTATGATGAAAAGCAACGGCGAGGGTTGGTGCGGGGCATTGCCAGCGACGACCAGCAGTAGCAGCAGCATTAGTAGCCGCGGCAACAGCAACGGTCGCCATAGCAGTTGTATTGGCGGCAGCAGCAGCAGCAGCAGAACAGCAGCATTGGGCGCGGCCCTGCAAGGGAACGGCGGACAAGGTCTCGGGGGCTCTCAGACACCCCGGCCTGTCATCCAAAGACAAAGCTCATAATCCTGAGCTCTACAAAAAGATCATGGTGACGCAGACGTATTTTTAGCACTGGCACTCGACCAGGTCAGGCGAATATGTATATTATATTGGAATATATTATATTAGATTATATCATATTATGTTATGTTGGGCAGGCCTATATTTTATATGATATCATATCGTATAATTATATTACATTGCATTACATTACATCACATCACATTATATCATATCATATCATGGTATATTATATGAGACTAGATTAGATCATATTATATTCTTTTGTATTATATTGTATTATCTTGTATTATAATGTACTATATTGTATTATATTGTGTTATATTGTGTTATATTGTTTTATTTTGTATGATTTTCTATTATAGTGTAGTGTATTGCCTTATGTTGCATTGCATTGTGTTATATTGTATTATATTGTGTTATATTTTATTATATTCTACTATGTTATCTTGTATTATGTTGTATTATATTGTACGATATTGTATTGTATTGTATCAAATTATGTTATGTTAGTAGCAACAGCATCGCTGGCAACGCTAGTGACAACGCAGAAGAGGGTGCCAAAAGCAGCGGAAACCAACAGAAACAGCAGTACCGTAGCAGTATCGGTGGCAGCGGCGGTAACTGCACGGCCACAGCAGCAGAAGCGATAGCAACAAGGTTGCAGAAAAATCGGTACAGTATTGGAAGTTGGAAGATGGAGACGCAGGGAGGGGGCGGGGAGTGGGCAAAAGTGGGGGAAGGGCGGGGAGGGGGCATATTGATTTTTTATTGAGATAGAGATCTATGGCTCGAAGCCACTGAGACTTCTTAGTCAGCCAGAGCTGCAGCTAAGTCCTCCCAGAACTCAATTCTCGTGGCAGGTGACGAGTTCAGAAGCTTGTCGCTGACTTCCGGCGGATAGAAGATCCAATGCTTTCGGCCACAGATGTTTGCAGACCAGGAGTGCGAGAACAGCACATCGTGATGCAGCGGCGTGCGAGTTCCCCTGCCGAGACCGTGTGGGTGCAGCAGTGCTGCAGCAAACTCGCGACACCAGAGCTATGCCCTAATCTTGGAAGCCCCCCATGCAATTTACATGCCCGCAAGGCACGCCACTCCGACGTAGGCAAAGCGGTAGTCATCCTGAAAAGAGTGGAGCATGTGGCGGACAGAGAGAGATAGCTCGCGGCACCGCCAAACGTATCTGCAAACATCGTGGCCCAATACAGTGCTGTGGAAACACTGTGTGTCCTTGCCGGTGGCCTTGTCCATATGGAGGTTCAGCCAATCCTCAGATTTTATGCCGGTTTCAAGTGCCACTTGCGGCCAGCTACATCTATCTTCTGTAATAGGCACAACGTCCTTAAGCCTCATGAAATTATCGGAGCTGCTCCGAGGGTTGAGTCCTAACGGTCAACCGAGCAACATGCATCGGCGCGGCCAGGTAGCCCGGGGCCTCGTATGGCACCTCAATCAATGTAAATCGTGGTAAAGTGTTGTAAACCTTGTCTGTTGAGATGTACACCGTTCGTGCCGACAAGGGCTGTGCGAAGGACACATCTGCAAGCAATACGAAGCAATGGGCAGGCATGGCAGGCCGCGTACAACTGGTGTGGGATATCTGTGCAACTGATGTTGTGAAAGGTGGGGTCCTCTCAGAATCTCACGCGGGCCCTGCACCTGCAGCCCAAGCGAGCGGCAAGCATTTACCAGGTGCCAGTCTTTGAGGTACAGCGCGTCGCCTGCCGAAACCGTCTCTGGAGCTGGAAATACTTGAGACACGTCCCAAACCTGGGCAACACTCCAACACCCGCCCGACTCCTCCTTGATGGGCGGCCCAGCGGAAGAAGTCGCCCACATCCTGAGACGCATCAGAGGGGTTTGGGGCACCAGGCGACGACACATAGGGACTGAGATCACTAGCTGATAGCTAAGATTGCTTTCAAATTCCCTCGTAGGCCGGGCCATTTTTGCTCCGTCGGTCGGAAACCCTTAAATCCCGTGCCTAAACCCCATGCCCACGACATCCCACCAAACCCCTTCTGACAGGAATCCAAGGTGAAACGCCTTCACTAGTTTACCCCGTAGGACACCCTCTCGTACCAGGGCCCTGAAAATTGGGTTCAACCGCATGGGTTCGGCTAGAGTGCATTCAACCAGGTCTGCACACGGGACAACTCCGTTTTATGACGGGGTGGGCGACGTCCAAATCCTTGATTCCCTGACGGATAGTCCGCACGCGATCCGAGCAGTGAACTTGGACTGCCTGAAGTCCCTAATGGTCTCGCTTTGTGAATGTGAGTGCGCCAAGATCGCTATGGAACCTATTATTCTGTTGTCTCGCGCTTGTGAATGCACAGGGGCAGCGATATCCTCTACAAACGGTTTAAACAGAACGGATCCTTGCAATATGGCGGGAGGGTGAGGTGAAGTCTCCCGAACCACGAAATCCGTTATACAATGGGGGGGGGGGGGGGGGACCCCCCACTTTATCAATTGTAAGAAAACCACTGTATAAGGGGAGGTAACCTACCCCATTCGGTACGCTCTAAGGCCTATATCAGGTCGGCCAACATGGT